AAAGCTTTGACTGAGCAGCCATGAGCAATGAACCTGGGCTTGTATATGTTAGATTGCAAAGGCAAGATAAAAAAAAGAGGCAGACATAATGGAAATTACAGCATGATATAATAATATTTAGATAAACCTATACATGTGACCTTATGATATATTTATCCCTTCCTACTAGATCAGCATGTTTGCCACACTATCTTTGAGACATGGTCAATGAATTTGGTTTACTGGACCTTAGATGCATGAGTGAGCCTGTTTCACTCAAGATCAGTTCAGCTTGTTGTGAAAGTTTTCTTACAAAGAAAAGCAGTCCATAATCTTTTGAGGGGAGAGCATATCTTGGAGATTTGGTACTTGTGTATTTATCACCACAGTATAATGCAAGAGAAGGATTTGAAATTTCATATTTCAGCCATGAACATAGTTATGCTTTACACCGAAGTAAAGTGAAGGATTTTAAATAATATACAAAAATGGCAAAAAAAACCTAGGATAGTCAGTTATATTTGTGTTTATTAGCAGAATGCTTGCTCCAAATGGGGAAAAAATGGATGGATAGGATTAAGGATGAATGAGTGTTCAAAGAATGTGAGCTGAATAACAAGGAAAGCAACCAGCATGAAATAAATTCATGTGGGTTGGTCATATGAGAGTTGAGTTTCAAAATAAATATGTAAAAGAAACACAAGAATCAAAAATAAGAGAAAGGCTGGAAAATTGTGATAGCATCGAGGTGATAATTTCCTGAGAAAAAGAGATGTAAGCTTAACACAGGGTGATGCGGAAATGGGGTTTGAATATGGTGGAAGAAGAAAAAGCTGTGGAACAATATGCAAATGAGTCACCATTTGCGAATAGGCGGCAATGTAAATTTTCTAAATAAATAAATACAAATAAATGGTCTTGGTGTGAAGTAGCAGTAGATGTGCCTGTGGAGATTCTCAATCATCCAGGTCATGTTTGTCCCAAAGGGGTTTTTCCAAAAGGCAATTGGATGTGCTTGGTTTTTTTTTTCTTTGAAAATATTTCTCTTGTCATCCAAGAAGCTTCTTCAGTGACTGAAGAAGTTTTTTGGGATGAGAAGCAAAACATTTTCAAAGTGGAAAAAAAAGTCCAGTTGTCTTTTGGAAAAGCACCTTTGGGCTAGATATTTTTTCTTATCTTGTATCTTTGCCTTGCTATTTCTTAGTTTCTTTTTATGCTTTGCATAACATTTTCACCATGAAGGGAGAATATGTGTACGGATATGTACTGTATGTATATTATCAAGTCCTTCCTAAGTTGTAGCTAGAAACTGATGTGTGAAAAGCATTTGCTGTCAAGGCTTTTCTGAACACACACAGCTGCCCTGTTTGTGCTGTAGGTGTTGTGGTTTGTACTTTATTTCTCCATGAAGACAAAATGTGACCCAGACTGTTATCTTAGGCTGGTATCTTGAAAAGAAAGGGTGCATAACTCTTAAAGCCTCAAGGAGGTTTTGTACTACCTTACTGTCAAGCTGTGAGTCTCTCTATGTGTGTTTCTCTATGTGTGTATACAATTCAGGTAGCATAGAGGCCGGACCCTTGGGGGTGATTTGTGAATATAGTTCTCAAAGTAACAGGAAGAAAAATAGAATGCTGTTTTACCAAAATGTCATGTACTGTATTTTTCTGTTTCAACTGATAAAGAACTGTTTCTTCATTAAAAATTAATGTTCTGCCTTCTCCCTCCCCTCTAATGCATGTTCAAAAATATATAATGCATTAAAGAAACCATCCATTTAGGCCCACTCTGATAGAAGATACAAGTGGTGGTATAGGAGATCGATTTTCTGTGATAGCTGGTTCTGTGCAGTTACTCCTGTCCTCCTGATAGTTTATCTTTTCTGAAGACAAGATTTGTTTGTGTTCCTCAGTTTATAGGGTTGAAGGCTGATATGTTCCTGGAAATGGAATTGGCATGGTATAGCTTTAATATTTAAAATGTAATATCTGAACAATATATAATTCACCCTCAAGCCTTTCTGTGAAATCAAATGGAGAACTAAAACTCCCTTCTTCCAATTTAAACATTTCCAGTCTTTAAATGAAATGAAATGTATGAAATATATATTGGCTTTTATTTAATATTAAACAGAATTGCTTCCCTTAAAATAATGAAAAAATTGATATCTAATATTGTTCTCTGTGTTTGTTGATGGCTTGTTTTCCACAGAGAGTGAGCTAACAATTGAGGAGTTATTTTCATAATTTCCTTTGCCATCCTGTAGTACTAAACATGAACAGCTCCACAATCATCCTTAAGATTCTCCTTTGTGTCTTTACCTATACGGCAAATAGAAATGAATAGAATAATTGTTGAAGGTTGACATAGATATGACATCAAGATAGTTTGGAACCAAATTCTGCTAATACGCTCCGAACTGTTGTTTATTGAATCTATAACTCTGGGTTGGGGAACTTTTTTGAGACTAGGGGCAACACTTTGAAGTGTTGACCCTGCAACCCTCTACCAGAAAAAATGGCTGGTAGCTGTGGCCCTCTCCAGCTCCATTTTCACTAGCAGAGGGCTGCAGGAGGCTGTCCCAGCTGAAAACAGAGATTGGGAGCCTGTTTTCGCTGGCACAGACACCATGGGCAGCTCCTTTGCTGTTTCCAGGGCGGTCCCGCATGGAATTTGGCCAGAGGGCCTTGAGTTTTGACACCTCTGCTCTAATGCATATCTTGGTGGCAACAATTTTGTTCTGGCTGCAGTAAAATTATGCGGGGTGAGTCTTTTACCCTGTGGATTAAAGTCCAGTACTTACATCAACAGTAATACAAAGACTCTTTAGTTAATTGAATCCAAATCTTAACAATTATACTTTGCATTCCCCAGAATGCATCAAATTCACTTCCACTTTTGGAACCTACATTTATTTTCCCCTTAGGGGATCATATGAGGTCTTGCAAATGAAAGTACTGACTGGAATTAATTTTTGAGAAGGAACGTTGGCCCACCTAATCCTAGAGGATAAAATTGTTTCATCAAAAGAAAGGCATAATCGTGGCCTTATATTGTTGTAGTGTCTAATCCCAGTTCTTGGTGATCCTGGGATTTGAGAGACCCACCTTAGAGATAAAGGGCTGAATCTTTGACCAGAGGAATAAAAATAAGCTTATTATTATAATGATGGCTTCTGTGGTTCAGTTTTAACATCTAGCTACTTAATGACTTCCTCTTTGTCTCGTATAAAATAACTTCCTTACTGGCTACCCTTAGTTGTCTGCCATCCTTGATTCCTGAGAGAATATTTAATAATATTCAGTCTGAAGGTTCCCAGCACCCCCCCCCCCCAATGAAGCAGTTAAGACAAGTGCTGCGTATTTTATATGTTGCTGTGCTACCATCTGCATTGAATTTGAATTAATAAGTCTCTTGCTGGGTCCTTTTTTAGCTCATCCAGAAGAGTTGAATGCTTTCTTTTTGCTATGGATTAACTAACATACATACATACATACATACATACATACATACATACATACATGCATGGCCCATTTTGTTTATTTGTTGACTTTTTCCTGTTTAGTCGTCCTTTATTATTCATTGTATTAATTGTCTGATTCTTGTATTCTTCATTTGCTTTTTTAACAGTTCTATTGGATTTTGCCTTTCATTGTATATGCAGGTGAAACTCAAAAAATTAGAATAGCGTGCAAAAGTTCATTTATTTCAGTAATGCAACTTAAAAGGTGAAACTAATATATGAGATAGGACTCATTACACGCAAAGCAAGATAGTTCAAGCTGTGATTTGTTATAATTGTGATGATTATGGTGTACAGCTCATGAAAACCCCAAATCCATTACCTCAGAATATTAGAATATTACATGCAATCAGTAAAACAAGGATTGTACATAGAACAATATCGGACCTCTGAAAAGTATAACATGCATATGTACTCAGTACTTGGTTTGGGCCCCTTTTGCAGCAATTACTGTCTCAATGCGGCATGGCATGGAAGCTATCAGCCTGTGGCACTGCTGAGGTGTTATGGAAGACCAGGATGCTTCAATAGCGGCCTTCAGCTCTTCTGCATTGTTCAGATTCATGTCTCTCATCTTTCTCTTGGCAATGCTCCATAGATTCAATATGGGGTTCAGGTCAGGCGAATTTGCTGGCCAATCAAGCACAGTAACCCCACAGTCATTGAACCAGGTTTTGGTGCTTTTGGCAGTGTGGGCAGGTGCCAAGTCCTGCTGGAAAATGAAGTCAGCATCCCCCTAATGCTCGTCTGTGGAAGGAAGCATGAAGTGCTCCAAAATCTCCTGGTAGACGGCTGCGTTAACCCTGGACTTAATAAAGCACAGTGGTCCAAAGTCCTCTTTTCTGATGAGAGCAACTTTTGGATCTCATTTGAAAACCAAGGACTCAGAGTATGGAGGAAGAATGGAGAAGCACACACTGCAAGATGCTTGAAGTCCAGTGTGAAGTTTCCACAGTCTGTGTTGATTTGAGTCATGTCATCTGCTGGTGTTGGTCCACTTTGCTTCAAGCCCACTGTGCTTCATTAATTCCTACCCCCCACCCAATCAATCTTTGTCACAGATGTCTCTGGAGGTCTGAGGGTTAAAGAAAGTAACTATATTAACAGGGGTGGTTTTATTTTCCCTACCAGTTCACAAATGTCATCCACATATGTGTTCTGCCATACGTGCATGCCCTATGGCTTGAAAATGTGCTTAAATAGGACGGCATAAAGCTGGGGCAGATGGGCGAAACCACCTGCGATTTCCACTACTGGTTCAGGTGAACCACTCCAAACCGGCTGAATACCACCTCTGTATATAAAATTTAAAAATAGAGTCCCAGTGGTTGAAGGTTTTATTTGAATTAGGGCCTGATTGAGTTTCCACACTTCCGTTTTCCTCTCCTTTTCGCTTCTCATAAATGAGTGTCGATGTTTTTATCTTACTGGGCTGTTGAACTCTACAGTATATTTATTTATTTATTTATTGTTCACTGTCCCCCCTTTTCTTTTCCAGGGTAATTCAAATGGCATTGCTTCTGTGGATGTTTCAGCTGGTTTTGTTGGACTAACTGACTACGTAGAAATTCCTGCCATTTTTCTTACTGCACTTGCAACATACTCAGGGCCTCTGCTGTGGGCCATTCATTTGTTGTGTTATTTGAGTTCTGAAGTGGACAGGTAAACTTTTTATGCCATCATTTTATTTATTTATTTTTATTCATACAGTCGCCTATCTTAACCAAGATAATCCTCAATATTAAATAAAAGCAGAATGAATAAAACTTACCCAACCCCATGACAATATCACGTACCCCAAGTGCAGTACCGCAATACCACATAGACTCCCCATGCTCTTACATTTGCTGGGCTCCTGCTCCTGTAAAATCTGTATGAAGGAGCCAGGTTTCACCACCTTCCAAAAGACTAACAGGTCAAAAGCTTATAAAGATGGCTTGTACAGTACATAGAGCCATATGTTAAAATCTACCATTTCTGAATGCTAAGAGTTAACAGGTCAGTATTGCTGTGAGCCAGCCAGGTAAGAGGTGCCTTAACAGATAGGTTGTTGCATGCCTGATCTCAACCGTCTTTTGGATGAGATAATAAGTCACAAGAGTCATGGAGTAAGTTGGGCGGCTATACAATCTTATTTAATAAAAATAAATAAACCAGTGGCTTGGGGAGAAGAATTGGCAGTAAACAGGAAAAATCTGCCTATTGATTTCTTTTTTTTTAAAAAAAAGAATCTGTCCAGGAAAGACTCTTCCAGACAAATGATTTGAGGAAATTCATGTAGAAGAAAATTGGTTGGCAGGGGAATATTCCTGCTTACTGATTCTCTTCTTTGAAATGTTCTCTCAGGTCCCTACCTTAGCATCCCGAGTAACTTGCTGATGGCAAAGGAGGGGGGACTCAATAGAAGGAATCTGGGGATATTGAAAACTATATCAATTTGCCAGAGTCTTTCAAGTAATGGGGCCCAGTTAGCTATTCTATTCCCTTGGCTGTTTTCTTCTGGAAAAGCAGTGGGGAATGGAGATACTGCAGTGGCGTCAGCTATAATTTTTCACATCTAGTTCATATAGATACAGATAAAAAGGATTTACAGCTGAATCTAAGTTTGATAATATTGATTGCTGATGTCAAACATTCTCATCAAAAATCTTTTGCTTTTAAGTTCTTTTATTCGGGGAAGGGAAAAGATGTGCATATAAACCAAATAAAAATTAGCTACAGTAAGAGAAAAAAAGATATTGATCTTATTTCCCCCTGCGACAAGGGATATCTACTATGATGAACCAAATGGGCGTGTACATATACAATTTTTAATATATTTTTTAATCTTTGCTTTTGAAGTGGTACAGTACCAGCCCTATTTATTTGAAGATAACTATGTTCTTCTGCACAGCATGTGGCACGACTGCGGTGCAATCTTACACCTACTTTTCTGACTTACTGTATTCAGCAGAATGTACTGTATTTCTTGAGATTTCCATTTGAGTAGAAAGTGAAGTTATTTACATAATTTATATATGCACTTTCAGCATAAATTTAAATTTCCAGTGAAGCTATCCAACTAGTCAAAAGCAATAAAGGTTCTAAAAGAACATTAAAAAAACCCCAAATCCTAATAAGTAACAAAGAAAGCAATTCTTATTTCATTATATAATATTTTTCAAAATACCTGCCGATCTGAAAAATCTGAGCCACTCTAGAGGTGTTATGCTTGATGCCTAAATTTTGGTAATCACACTATCAGGCAAGTCTTTCTGGGAACATATTCTACAAAGTGTACTACTGAAGTAGTACGTTGCCCAGCTTCACCTGGTGTGTTACCTGTGCTTTTTCTTGAATGAGAAGATCTCGAGATAATAGCTCATGCTTTCATTGCTATCTATCTTGATTACTGCAGTACTCTTCACATGGAGCTGCCTTTTTAAAAGCCATCTGAGGCTTCAAGGGGTACAGAATACAGCAAACGAGGTGCTCACCAGCAGTTATCGCTAGGAACATGATATCTCTAAAGGGTAATGTAAGCTCTACATTGGTTGCCAGAAGCTTTTGGATGAAGGTTAAAGTGCTGGTGTTGACCTATAAAACTTTTTATGACATGGTTCTAGGCCGTCTGTAGAACCAAATTTCCTGACTGAAGGTACTATTAAACTGTTAAAATTGCACAGGGAGAAGCAATTGATTGTTCTCTACAATTAGAGTTGTGGTGGTGCAATGGTTGGAATGTAGTATTGCAGGCTGACTCTGCCCATTGCCAAGAGTTCAAGCCTGACCGACTCAAGGTTGACTCAGTCTTCCATCTTTCCAAAGTCGGTAAAATGAGGACCCAGATGGTTGGGGAAAATATGCTAACCCTGTAAACGTCTTAGAGAGGGCTGAAAAGCACTGTAAAGCAGTTTATAAATCTAAGTGTTATTGCTATTGCTACTTTCTGAAGGTCAAATTGAGCAATGACAGGAAATGTAGTTTCTCTGTAATAGCCCCTAGCTGTGGAAAGATAGCCCCCCCAATCTATTTTACTCTCATTCAATAGATGATTAGATTTGATTTGATTCAATTCGATTAGATGAACAGATATTTGTAAAAGGTTAAAGACCTGATTGTTCTCCCAGGCTTTGGGTTAGGAGGGTGATTCAGAATTTTATTTTGGTCTTTACATATTATAGAGGTGGTCTTCTAGTAGTTGTATTCCTTTCTTTGCTATGTGCTGTTCTAAATTCTCTTAATTGTAAACTCAGTCATATTGTCCAATAGAGGTGCTGGCCAGTTGCTTTGTTACTCTGCTCCTCCTCTCCAAGCCACCTGTTGGAATGACCTTGGTTCCCACAAGAAAACTTTTTGTTTTGACTGCAAAACCTCCTTTAACTATTTCCCTCCCCCTCCCATCTAGTGGCAACCCTGAAGCCTCAAAGATGGCCCTAGCCAGGTTCGCTTCAAGATTGACAACAAGAGTATAAGATTTCACTAGAATTACTGCAAATCAAAATGGCTCCTTTTTTTCTTATAATACCTGACCAAAAAAGAAAAAAACAAACCCTAAAATTTTCACTTTATGGCTGATAGGAAATAATTTTTATTTTAGGCTTACAGCAATTTTTTCCTGTTCATATGTTTTCATTAAATCTCATGGCTTGTACATCTAGCGACACACGATTTGGTTTACCGAAACCCTTTGGTATTTCATCTTTGCATACGTATTGGATGCCTACTGTGCATCAGAAAGATTGGCTATGTGCCTGTAATACTGTTTTGCATTACAAAACCTGCAGCATTCTCTTCCCCCTCCTCCAACCTTTTGTTAAATTTAATAAGCTGTTTTCTGGCCAGTGTGCAATTCCAGTTTTAGCTGCAAAGCCTGCATATGAATGCCCTGCCAGAATGCAGAAGCTGTGGTGTCACAGTCCCACAGCAGTCACCACCATGGAATCATGAAATATTTATTCATGATGGTGTCAGTGCTTCTCATATAGATGAGTATGTGCAGGATCTCATTAGCTCACTTAGGTTCATCACTAGGCTAAAATTGTCAGGAGAGGAATACAATATTGAAAAAGCTTTGTTTTAGGCATCAAATTACAGCATACATCTCTCTCTCCCCCCCTCTCCCTCCCCCTCTCTCTCCCTCCCCCCCCTGTGTCAGGGGTGCCTCTGGTGGCCTGGGCACTCCGCTAATGAAAAAGGGCTCCCGAGCTCCATTTTTGGCTGTGACAGTCTCCCGCAACCCTCTGCCAGTGAAAATGGAGCTCTGTTTTTGCTGGCAGAGACACCACGGGCTGTTTCCAGGTCAGCCCTGCAGGCTAAATCTAAGCGCGCGCGCACGTGCACACACACACGCACACACACACACGTCCTAGTATGTTTTTTAGCTGATAAATGGTGATGAGCTCTACAAATGTAGGTGGGAATTGAAGAGCTCAAATCATTGTTTTTATGAACTGTTCATTCTGAGTATATTGATGGCAGAGCAGGATCACCATGAGGGAAGAGTATGAACAGCTTATATGTTTTCAATTCTTGATGAGCCAATTGGCAGCAGACCAGAGCCCAGCGAAGAACCAAACAGTGGAAGTTGAATAGGGAAAGCTTTGTGCCAGCTTAGATGGTCAAGTTCCTGATGAGTTAGCCTCCACTAAGAAAATAGGATGGATGTATCTTTGCCAATTCTACCGATCGTTTTTGCCCTCATGACCTTCTTGAAGTTCTTATGGTCTTTTTCGACTTTCCCAGATTGGCCTTGAGTATTAATTAAAAATCTTATCTGGTAGCCTTGTACAAAATCTCCCTGGAGAATAACGCGATTCATCATCACCTTGTTTAAGTTTAAATTCCAGTGCTGCTTTATCTAAAGGGCTTAGGTGAATAGGGAAAGTGTGCACCTGACTTTTTATACAAATAATCAAAATGACTTCATAAATGTTAACTTCCCTTGCACCATCCCTAAAACATGGGTTTGTTTTGTATAGCAAAATATATCAGAAGGAGTGCCAGATCAAGACAACCTGAAGAGAGAAAAGGCTAAGACAAAAACCTGGAGGTGTGCATCACTGTTGGTTCTGTAGATCAGAATTTTCCAACATTTCTGCCTTTGCAGACCAGTGGGGGAGGAAAGGGGATGGTTCCACATGAATGGCAGGCAAGAACGCGAGCAGCTCCATTTGTGCAAGTGGCGGGCAAGCACACATACCCTTGTGCAAATAGAGCACACATACAAATGGGGATATGTGTGCACCAGTTTGGGTTTCAAAATTTTTTAGAACCTCTTCTGAAGGTGTGGCCTGCTTTGTGGGAGTGGCTTGCTGGCCATGTGACCGGGTAGGAGTGGCTTGCCAGCCATGTGACTGGTGGGCGGGCCAACTTGTAAAATGTGGTGAAACTCACTTAACAATGTTCTCACTTAGCAACCAAAATGTTGGCTCAGAAACTCTGGCATTTGAAGCACACAAGTCTTAAAGCTGTCAAGTTATAAGAACCTTGCACCACAAACCTTTTAGAAAAAAACCCCCAGGGGTGTTCAAACTTGACAGCTTTAAGACTTGTGGACTTCAACTCCCAGAATTCCTCCTCTCACTTCATCTTGATGATGTGGGGACAGACAGGGGGGAAGGGAGCTAGAACCGGTTCTATACAGCACTGTAGATTTCTTCTATAGAACTGGCAGGAACCCTGGGGGGCACGTACGTGCTCGTCTTCCGCTTC